GATGGTGGGTGGGTGGATGGATGGATGAGTAGATGGTGGGTGGTGGGTGGATGGATGAGTGGATGGTGATTGAGTGGATGGATGGATGAGTGGATGGTGATTGAGTGGATGGATGGATGAGTGGATGGTGATTGAGTGGATGGATGGATGAGTAGATACTGGGTGGATGGGTGGGTGATGGGTGAGATTTTCATGATTGGTTCAGACCATGATGAAAGAAGCAGAAGTGAGGGACATGCAGAAGTGGGAGAGGCTGGAGCGGGAAGAGAGGGGAACGAAACCTGGGCTGTGGACCCAGACAGGCCCAGATTCAAATCCAGGCTCTACCATATCTTCTTGTGGCAACCCAGCGTGAGCGACCTGCCCTCTCTGGGCTTCAGTGTCCGCGTCTGTGAAATCGGTGTAATCTTGGCACTCACCTCCAGCGGCATTTTGGGGATTTGACCTGAAAGTGCTCAACATGGTGGCTGCCCATGAATGGGGGAGGCAGGAGGAGGAGGGTGGCCTCCCCAGGCCATCCCTAAACAGGGCTGCTGCCACACACGCAGACCTTCCTTGGGCTGCCATCATGGGGGCTCCCATAGGGATGTAGAGGGCTGGGGCCTGAGAAAGGGATGTGGTGGGAGGGGAGACTTGGACCTTGAGGGCTGCTGGCAGCCTCCCGAGATCCCATGGGTTGGGACGGGGTCCCCACCACTGAATACAGCATCCCCTGGGGGACTGCAGTGGGGAACCCATGGGAAATGGCAAGTGGGTCTCCTGCCCAGAATTCCCCGGGGAACGATGTCCCCACAGTGGCCAGCGGGCAGGTTCCAGCTGGGTGGATCCTCCATGGGCAAAGATGCGGAGGCCCCGTGTGCAGGCACATGGCTGCAGGAGGCAGGGGCTTGGGGCCGGTGGGTGCCCAAGACAAGGCCAAGGATCAGTGGGGTCCCAATTAATTGATCCCATCATGTGGGCTGCAGTGGGTTCCACAGAGGAGGGAGGTGACTGCTGGGGCCAGGGCACACAGGGCATCCGGGTGGGGGGGTGGACCTCTACGGGAGGACCCAGGATGCCTGGCGCCTGGGGGTGTCCGAGAGCAGATCGCCAAAAGTGGCCTCTGGGGAAGAGGGCATGGGGACACAGAGAGAGACACAGGCGCCTACAGTCCTTGGAATCCGTCTTTATCGGGGCGATCATCCTTCGCCTTCGCAGGTCTGGGGTGTTCACGGTCCGCCCAGAGCCCCTTACGCGGGCCAGCCCCTGCCGTGGGCACCAGGACGATGCCTTGCCGACCTGGACCCTCCTTGGGCCTGGCCGGTGTCCCCACGCCGCACTGCCCACTCTCTTGGTCCTCTGGGGCCAAGGGCCCCACCAGGTGGGGTCAGGGCTCCTGGCTTCGGGGCGAGGTGGAGCCGTCGGTATCCTGCCCTGAGACGGAGGCCGGGGCGCCCGCGCTGCGCAGCTCCCGGGCCAGCTTCTCAGCCAGCTTGCGGAAGGGTGGCCGGCGGGCGGGCTCTGCCTCCCAGCAGCTGCTCATGAGGACGTGCACGGGGCCTGGACAGCCCTCGGGGGGCTCCATGCGATACCCCTTCTCCACGGCTTCCGACACCTCCTTCAGTGACTGAGGACGGCAGGCGTGGGCAGGGGTCAGGGCCACACCCTCTGGACCTGCCCAGAACCCAGTGCCTCCCTGGGGCCCCCGCTCACCATTTTAGGGTATGGAGCCCGTCCATATGAGAAGACCTCCCAGAGCAGCACCCCAAAACTCCAGACATCCGACTTGCTGGTGAACTTCTGTGGGGCCCGAGACAGGGGTGAGGAGGGACCCCTCAGGGTTTCTGCTCCAGCCTCTGCTTCCTCCAGGAAGCCCTCCTGGGTTGACCCTCACTCTCCGGTCTCCTAGTTGATTCCTCCCCCAACGCCGCCCACAATCGAGTCTAGCTCAGCCTTCATGCATGGAGGAAACCTGGTTATTCTTCACCTCAGTCCTGAGCCCATGCCTTTTTCAGAGCTGGAGAAACTGAGGCCCAGAGGGAAGCTACAAGGAACAATTACGGGCCAAGAGCTTCCTGGGGAGGCAGAGCCATTGCCCTTGGAGTTTCTGAGAGGCCAAGTGACACAGCCAGGGTCATACGGCAGAGCTGGGGGGACCCCAAAGCCCCAGGGGTGTGTGAAGGAGGCTCACCCCGTGTTTGAGAGCCTCGGGCGCCGTCCACTTGACGGGCAGGCGGCTCGAGTCCAGCCCTTTCCGCTCTGCTTTGGCCAGGCCAAAGTCGCTGACCTTGGCCACCAGGTCCTCGGAGACCAGGATGTTGCGGGCGGCCAGGTCGCGGTGCACCAGCTTCTTGCTCTCCAGGTACTCCATGCCCTCGGCCACGTGCCTGGGGGGAGCAGGGGGCAGTGGGGGCTCAGGTGCCAGGACGCCTGCATTCACAGCTCAGAAAGCTCTGGGTGCCTGGGTCACAAGCTCAGAAAGCCTCCCTGCCCCGTGCCTCAGTTTCCCCTTGATGGATCTTGGAATCTGCCCCCCGACGACCCCCACGCCCCGGCACCCTGACAGCCCCACTTACAGGGAAAACTGCAGGAGCTGAGCAGTGTTCACGAGGGCTCGGCCCCGGGTCCGCAGAAAGTTCACCAGGTTGCCCTGTTGGGGGTGGGAGACAGCCGTGGGGGATGTTAGGGCTGCTTTGCCATGTGGGACCCCCTCCCCGCCTGGGCCCCGCCCCACCTTGCTCACGTGCTCCATGACAATGTACAGCCCCTGGTGCAGGATCACGCCCAGGAGACGCACCAGGTTCTTGTGTTGCATCTTCCTGGGGGCGGTGGGGTGGGCGTGAGGGCGGGGCTGGGACCCCCCATCCCAGGGTCCCCAGCCCCCACCCCAGGACTCACGTCATGACGGCCGTCTCATCCAGGAAGGCCTGGGCCGTCACGTCGCACTTGATATTCTTCACGGCCACCTTTTGCCCCAGGTACTCACCCTGCAGGACAGCTTGGGGGTGGGGGCGGGGAACGGGGTGAGATCGGGACCCCCAACAAACAGCGACAGAGAGACAAACGGACAGGCCCGCTCACACCAGTGCCCATGTAACACTCACACAGCTGCGGGTCCCCAGACCTTGAAACGCAGCCCCCACGCTCCCCATCCCCGCCACCCTCACAAGCTCCAGACCCAAGATCAAAGAGAACCGTCTGGTCCTGGTGCGGTGGCTCACGCCTGTAATCCCAGCACTCTGGGAGGCTGAGGCAGGCAGATCACCTGAGGTCAGGAGTTCAAGACCAGGCTGACTAACATGGAGAAACCCCGTCTCTACTAAAAATACAAAACTAGCCGGATGTGGTGGCACATGCCTGTAGTCCCAGCTACTCGGGAGGCTGAGGCAGGAGAATCGCTTGAACCCTGGAGGCGGAGGTTGCAGTGAGCCAAGATCGTGCCATTGCACTACAGCCTGGGCAACAGAGCGAAATTCCATCTCAAGAAAAACCACAAAAAAACAAACAAAAAACAAAAAACAAAAACAAAAACAAAGAGAGAACCATCTAAGCCAGGGGTCTGTGAACCTCCACCTCCCAGGGGCCAAATCTACCCTGTCAATTCTTTTTGCAAGACCTTTGAGCTCAAAATGTTTTTTGCATTTTTATTTTTAAAATATTGATACAGGGTCTCACTCTCTCACCCAGGTGGAGTGCAGTGGCGTGATCACAGCTCAGTGTAGGTTCAAATTCCTGGGCTCAAGGGATCCTCCCATCCCAGCCTCCTGAATAGCTGGGACTACAGGCACCCACCACCACGGCCAGCTAATTTTTTTGTATTTTTAGTAGAGACGGGGTTTCACCATGTTAGCCAGGATGGTCTTGATTTCCTGACCTTGTGATCCACCTGCCTCGGCCTCCCAAAGTTCTGGGATTACAGGTGTGAGCCACGGCGCCCGTCTGGTTTTTGCATTTTTAAATGGTTGTAAAAACAAATCAAAAGATGAGTACTGTTTCAGGACATGTGAGCATTATACAAAATTCAAATTTCTGGGCCATAGTTTTCATGGCCACGCCCATATGTTTACATATTGTCTGTGGTTGCTTTCACTCTACAAGGGCAGGATTCAGCAGCTGTGATAGCAGCTCCCTGACACACGAAGCGAAAAATATTATTACAGAGAGTCTGCTGACCCCTGATCTAAAACCCAGAGCCTTCCAGAATAATAATTTCAGGGAATGGTGTTCCAAACATTCCAAACAGAGGGACTGACCATACAAGACCCTGGCAGTGTGAAGCCACTAACATTGACTGCTTGAGTTCATTGACCCCTCATGACAGCTGCCATTACCCCGTGTTCCAGAGGGGGAAACTGAGGCTCAGAGGATTTGCGTGTCTTCAGTTGCACAACTAGTAGGTCGTTAAGTATGGGTTTGAATTCAGCTCTGTAACTGCAAAGCCTCAATATGCACCTCCCACTTTCCTTCAGCACCCCCAACCCGGTCCGCCACTCACCTCCAAATTCTCCCTCTCCGATCTGCGCTCCCAATGTCAAATGCTGCAGGTTCAGTAACCAGCCCGCTGTGGAGTGAAGACCCAGTCAGAGGGGTAATGGGCCCCCCAAGCCCTCCCACTGGGGGTTCTACTTGGTGAGAGACTAGGTGAAGTCTCTCACAGTGCTGCAGCTGTGGATACACATTTGAATGGCTGCTGGACCTGGCAATGCCCCTAGGACGTATCAGAGACACCCCACTCCTGGTACTAATTACTGTTGTTGCAACAGACCTATCTCAGGTTGACCTGAGCAAAAACAGGCTTACAGGAGGGATAGTGGTGTGAATGGTCAAAGCTGGGGGCCTGCCTGGCTGAGACCCTCAGATTCCACATTTGCCTTCCAGGAACTCCCTGTCAGGCTCAGGGGGCAGTGCCAGGAAACACTTCAGGTCTCAGGTCTCAGAGAGAAGAGCTGCCCTTTTCTCTTTGGCTCTCTTGTCCCTCCAAATACCTGCTGGGCTCGTCCCTACACAGTTCTTTACCTCTGACCACTCAGAAACATACAGAGAGAAAAAAAAAAAAAAAAAAAAAACACACACACAACATGGAGACCCATAAAGGTTCCAGAATATTCCAGGGCTCTGGCCTCCCTGACCCTTCTCCCAAGCACTCCTGTGTTGTCCCCTCCACTGTCCTCTGGTTGGTTCTGCAGGCGTTCTCTTCTCCCTCCAGAAAGTTACCCCTCCAAATGCCATGGTCTTAAGGGATCATTGGTCAGGGTGATGCTAGTGTCCACCTGGGTGCCATCCCTGATGGATACAGATTTCCCTAGGAGAGACGTACTTTCAAGGAGACAGACATGGGGTGGGAAGAGGCATTTGCTTTTGACCTTAAACACTGAGGATTTCACTACTCAGGGGCTGGAAAAGCATTTCAGGTGAAGGGAACAGAATATACAATGGCTCAGAGGCATGAAGGAAACGATGATCACAGTTGACCTGGGAGGGGGTGGATGCGTGGAGGAAGGGCTTTGCAGATGAGGCTGGAAAGGTGGCTCAGGCCATGCGGGCAGGTTCTGGAAGGTAGTGGAGCTGCCGGGCCTCTCTCCCTGGAGGCACGATTTCATGACAGAAAGATAACCTTGAGGCCGCACTCAAGGCCTGGGCTGGAAGGGGGACTCGCCCTCTGGGAAGGAGGCAATCTGATGGGAGGGCCTGAGGCTGGACTGTGGGGAGGGGAGGGGAGCAGATTCACCAGGTGTTGGTAACCTGGCCAAGGAGGGAATGATGGAGGGTGGGGTGGGTGGAGGTTCAGGGCCAGGTTTCTGGCTCAGATGGTGGATGATGGCGAAGCTGGGGACCTATCAAAAAAAGGACTGATCTGTGTCTGTGGGTACCCCCAAGGCAGCCCACGTCTTCTATCCCATAGTTGGGCACGGAGACAGGCTTGAGTGATCTGGCCTCAGAGGCGCGGGGGCCCCAGGGCCCTTCCTCCCGGGCTGGGCTAATGCGGTCAGGGAAGGGGGTCTGCCCTCCTGGGCGTCCCCTACCCCTGGCCAGCTCCTCCTCGGCAGACTTGGTCCCGTGTTTCCGCTTTGGTCTCACCAGCTTGGTGCAGATAGCGCCCTTGTCCTTGCTGTAATGCTGCAGGATGTGGGGACAGCCATGAGCCCAGCCTCAGGGCGGGGAACCCCGGCATCCTGTCCCCTTCCTGGGTGGCCTCTGGGGAGGGTGGGTGGGACCGGGGAGGAGGAGAAAGGCTGCTTTCCATAGGAACGGGAAAGGAAGCAAGCCAAAAGGAGGGGGAGTCCTCTGGATTGGTATCAACTTGGGGGGGTCCTGGGGGTCCCCAGAGGAGTCACCCTAGTCCCTGGAGGTAGAACCAGACTGACTCAGACCACCTGTAGGATGGGCGGTCCATAGGGATCAACCCCCTGCCCATTTCTGCATTAAGGAGAATCCTACTGTGAGGTCCTCCTGTCTGCCTATCTGAGATGGGATAGGGGCCTGGGGGGCCCCAGGGACTACCCCCTTCATCTCCACATTGGGGAAGCACAGAGCTCAGGGGGGTCCCGGGCAATCAGCACAGAGGTAGGGATGGTGTCTGCCCAGCTGCTGGGGAAGGGATAGAAGTCAGGCGACCGGCCCCTCCATCTCTACATAGGGGAGTGTCCAGGGCAGCAGGGACGGGGTGGGGCCTCTGGATGGCAGCACCTCCACCATGTCCATGAGGTTGCAGAAGGACACGGCCTCATCGATGGTGAGGTGGCCGTCGCGGTGCAGTACGCGGTAGTGGATGACGTCACGGCCAAAGCTCACGCACAGGACGTAGTCGCCAGGATGGCGCGCGGACTCCCGCACCAGGAACAGCCCGTCCTCAGGTGGCTGCAGCTGCTGGACAGCCTCCTGGCCCGAGATCTTCCCATGGAACCACCTGGGGCCACAAAAGGGGTGGGTTGGACCAGGCTGTGGGAGGCGGTCACCTACTGCCCCCCACTCCAGGCCCCTGTCCCACCCACTCACGGCATGAGGCTGAGCTTGGGGTCTGTGGAGAGGGCCTCCCGCTCCCGCAGCGCCCCAGCTGCCAGCAGCCCCTCCTGCCCGCTGGTGTGGTGCTTGACGCGGTACCAGCTCTTGTTCTGCCAGGGAGGAAGCACAGGGTTGATGTGGGGGGTGTGGGGGTGGTCCTGGTGGAGCCCCCAGCCCCAAGCACCCACACCCACTGGCCGCCTCTCACCTCGCAGGCCTCCAGGATGGTGACCACGTCGCCCTTGCGGAAAGCCAGCTCCCCTGGCTTGGGGCGGGTGTGCTCGCATTTGGTGATGCACTGGGTACCCGGGGCCCAGCGCCTCTGCAGAGGGGGCCAGGAGAGGGGCGACAGGAGGACATCACGGAGATGTGGGGAGCAGAGGCATGGGAGGGGAAAGAGGACAGGGGGGAGAAAGGCATGGAGATTGGAGAAGAGCAGAAAGGCAGAGAAAACAGATGCAGACATCGGGGAAGGAGAGAAACGGGGTGAACAGCGCTCAAAGAGAGAAATCGTAGAGTCACAAAGAGAGGACAGGGACAGAAGGTCAGGAAGCCAAGATGACTGAGAAAGGCCAGGCAGAGCCCAGCAGAAGCGGGTAGAGGGAAGAGAGTACAGCCCTCCAGGAAGGAGGCTGAGGGTGTGGCTGTAGTTGAAGGAGGACCCGGGGGATAGAGGAACCAGGCTAGACACACTCACCGTTGGCATCCTGGCTGAGACAGGCGGGGGGTGCCAGGCTCGGAGGAAGCGGGGGCTCACCTGGGGAGGGGGCAGAGTCCAGGTGGGAGCTGGGCTGAGACCCAGGGTCCAGTTCCCACCACTTCCAGCCCAGGCCAGGTGGGGGCAATGGCCAGGCAGGGGCAATGGCCAGGCAGGCAGAGACAGCCCCCGAGAGGCATCCTGGGTGGACCCAGAGCTGGCTCCCCAAGCCCCTTTGGGGAAGTGATCTTTACCCGGGGAAGTTCTTTAGCAGAATCACAGCCATGAAATGCCCGCCAGGAAAGCAGGGAGCCTCGCCCCGCCATCGCCCCCAGAGGGAAACTGAGGCAGGGGAGAGGAGCACTGAGCAAGTGGCCACAGTCGGGGACGCTGGGAATGGCCTGCCACAGTCCGGGCGGCTGGCACGGGAGGTAGGGAGCTGGGTGCCACTGGACCGAGCCTGGTTCTTCCTCTTTTCTGGTAAGTAGGCAGGGGCAGGGTGGGGAAATAGGGATGAGTCAAGGTCATTCCCAAGATTCTCTGACCTGGGGTGGAACTGGGGGCAGGGGTGGGTCCAGTAGCCCTGCTGGGCTCCTCCGGCCACCCGCTGAGCCTCTCTGATCCCCCCAAACCCAGGACAGACACACAAAGTCGCTCACTGCTGCAGGGGTGGGGGACCCTCCCTGCCTCCCCCATCTCCAGGACCGCTGGTGGCTGGGAAGTGGGCGGTGCTGGGGGGTGAGTCTCAGCCCCTCCAATATGCGCCTCCCCTGAAATCCTCCAGTCCCACGTGTACTCACACGCATACGGATGCATGTACACGCACAGAAACACGGGGCTCGGACACAGGTGCGCGCAGACAAGCAAATGACCACGTCCACCTGGAAACAGGTGTGCGCACACGTCCCCGCGCGTCCGCGCGCATAAGCGCTCCACACCTGGGAACGTGCGCACCTGTCCCCCGCCCCCGGCACACACACAGCCGCCCCACACTGGAA